ATATCAGGGTAAGTTTAAAATGCAGTGAATTCAAAGTGCACTGAAGATGTCTCCCCAAATGGAGACGAAACGTTTGCAGCCAAATCGCCAAGATCGGAGATCAAACCAAAAGCCCAACTATCATCCGGAGCTACTGATGTTCAAGCACATTTAAGTTTAAAACCACAAAGGAAACGGCCCCTTCTTTGAAGGCACCCAAAGTCTTAGCATCATGCATCAACATTATCATCTATTTGATGCAAGAGTAGGAAGTCCCATGTACCCAGGATTTTAAATTGGCTTAACATTGCTTTTGTTTGCAAAGTTATATATTTCTTACCTTTCAGTTCTATCTCAAGCGAAAGTGTTTGGTATGGGTTGGTTTTTTTCATTTCTTTTGTACTATTATTGCTATACAACAGTGGTGGCAAACCTATGGCATGGGTGCCAGAGGTGGCACTCAGAGCCCTCTCTGTGGGCACTCACACCGTCGCCTCAGTCCTAGCCCTTCAGCTGGGTTTTATAAAACCTTTTCGCTTTAGGCTTCCGCCGCCGTGTGCAAAAAAAAAAAAGATTCAATCAATCAGTCAATTTCAACTTCTCATGGGGAAAAAAAAGATCTTGCAAAATTGGGATTGATTGATTGAACTTTTTAGTCCCACCCAGTCTGCCGTTACCACCGCAGCCACGCCCACCCAATGGGCCACACCCACCCAATGGGCCACACCCACCCGGCACCCGACGATGCATAAGTGGGTGTTGCAGTTTGGGCACTCGGTCTCTAAAAGGTTCGCCATCACTGCTATACAACATCTGCAACTCTTATAATAAAATAAAAATGGGCACATCTCCCTTATCAAAAACACAGAAGAGACTTAAAAGAAAATGGATTCAGATTGGGGAGTTTGGAGAACGGGAAAAGCTGGGAAGCAAGCAAGTAATTAAATGTCAACTTTCTTCTGACTGATTTACCTCCAACGTCCCCCTGTTTCCCCCCCCTTCCCAAAAAAAATAAGATTAAACTTCAGATATAGATAAATAAAAGGTTAAGGATCAAGTTCCAATCTCTTAGCAATTCTAATGGAGAGAACCTTAAGGATTTGCTCGTGTCAAATAATCTGCTGGAACAACAACAACAACAAAAATCCACTTATTTTGGAGAGATTTTCAGACAGGTTCTTATGTTTTCCAGCACAAAACTGCAAGAAAACTATTGTTTATTTTATTTATTTATTTTTATTACGTTTCCGACGTTTGTGGAATAGTTAGGAAGGCCTTCAGAAACTGTAGAAAAGATAGCGGGAAGAAGACAAATGTTGCAAGCCCTAGAAAATAGGAAATTGAATTACTCTACTACAACGTGCTAAAATAAATTGCTCGAGGTGCTCCCATGCGTTCATGCACGCATGCATACAACTCAGCTCCGCAGTTCTGGGTCTCATTGTCAAAACACATTTGCAGTCTATACCCATCTTTCCATACCACGCCTCATCACAAATGGCAATTAAGCATCGTATAAATACTAATGAATTCATTTCCACTGCAACACAAACACTGAGAAAGATTATAAGGTTCTCTGCAGGGGATCTTAAGAGGCTTCTTATGATTCATTGCATCTCCTGTAACTGGGTACTAACCCCTGATCTTTTCCCCCCACCAGGGAAAAAGAGTTAATGATGCTTAAATAGTTTTTAGTACAGAAGAAGGAACGTGCTGATTCCCATTCCTACTAGATACATTATGGATAAAGAATCTTCTACCACCTTGGTGTAGGAATCAGATTACCCATTTAATCTTTCCTCCAACCTTACAAGTTGAACATTTTTATATTCCACCACATGGGCATATCCTTAGAATAATTCAGGCAAATGACCTGACATCCAGTTCCTCTGGGCTGCAGGGAGGGTCAAGGGGAAGCAGGATCATGACCAGTGATAATGAGAAACTGCCTCTCTGAGGCATCTCCGTCCATCAGCTATCAACTTGTCCCTTAGGCATGTCCTTCCATCAGTTAAGCTCAGAGTGTAGTAAATTTGGATTCTTGCTCTGCCTGAACCATTTTTATTCCAGTTGACCAAGGTAAGCATTTTGTAAATAATTTCTGTGATTATTCAGATCTTTCTGTTGCTCAATACCTTTTCCATTTATACGTTGTCTTGTAGTTTGTAAACCCAAAGGATTGCCTTTATTTTTTAAAGCCAGCCTAAGAAGTCTTTTATGAAAAGAAGAAAAAGGAGAAGGGGAGGGAGGACAAAATAGGCTTGAAGATACTATCTCTCACTTATGTCCTTCCTCCTTCCCAAGGTTGGCATTTCCTTAGGCAATTGGGGGGCATCTCTGCATCTACATCTACA